GGGGGGGGAAGGGCCCGAGGGCTGGGGCGGCAGGAGAGAGGTGGGGGAGAGCCCAGAGCTGGGGTGGCAGGAGGTGCAGGTCGGGGCCAGAGCGCTCCTGTTTCAGACTGTCAGCTCTGCCCTGTGAGTCCAGCTGAGACGCTCTTACAGTCTCCAGGGACCAATGCACCTCAGCAGGTATTTGCAGGGACACCCGGCAGCCTTTGCAAACAGAATCGGGTTTATCAGTCAGCTGGAGCCCAGCGTAGGAAGTCCCTAGGTTAGCACCGAGAAATGAAGGTTAAGGCATAGTCCAGTCTGGCCAAGCCAGCTCTCCACCCGCCACGCTGCCGTGGAATCCATGGCTGGGCCTGACCGTCTTTGTCCTTTGTCAGACCAAGGTGCAAGCTGAGCCTGCCCCAAAAGCCACTTCTTATCACAGCCTCCTCCCGACCCACACGGAGTCCACATGTTCCACCCGCAGGAGATTCCCATGGACAGGGGTCAGCTGTTCTGTCCTTGGGGATTCTATTGCCTTTGGGGACCCACCATTGATCTGGGTCGGTTTCAGCCAGTCCTTTAACGACCCCTTCACTCCATGCCAGAGAGTTACGTGACACAACATCTCATGTCACCTGCTCTGCCCCAAGAGAGTATTTAACCTGCCGGCAGCCAATGGGTGTGATGCTTCCAGAGATACCCAGGGCTGGGAGGCACCTCACTATCATCTGCTCTTAGTGGGAGGGAGACTCATCTGTGCCTGCCAGGGGTCGGCTCTCGGACTCCACCAGCCACAGGTGACAGAAGGAACAGCACACTCAGCGTACCAGTTACACCTCAGATCACTGCTCAGCTTAACACACAGCACTTGGACTTGATTTCACTATAAACGTATCTAAGTGTATTTAACACAGAGCAGAGATTCACGTAACGGCAAGTAGGCAGAAATAGCGGCAGCAATTGGTTATATGTAAAACAAAATCATAATATGTCTCCTGGAGTCGAGACTTAACTAATAGGACATGCTCCTGCTCCATAGAGGTCAGCTCATCCGAAGGCTTTCTCCCAGCATTTAACAGCCGTGACCTTCTGTTCATCAGACAAGCACGCTGGCAGCTTGTCCCTAGGTGAAGGACACCGTGTGTTTCCGTGTATTCTCCTGATATACCAGCCTATTCCTTGCTCTGGTCATAAACAGCTCACCCCCTGCTGTGCGTTCCTTCCTGTCGATCCTGTGATCTCTTGTCGACTTCGCAGTGTTGATTACCCGTTGGCTCCGTATGCAAATAGCCTCACATTGTAAGACACACAACCCACAATGGTCAGCCAGGGAGAAAGGTGTCTCCTATCCTCTGCCGGAACAGAACTCGTTTTTCACCTTCTGGTGACCTGTCAACGTGCATACCTTAAGAACCTCATTTTCAGTAGAGATACATAACTTTTTTTAAAATATCCTTACGTACATCTCACAATGATTACATGTTACTGTTAGAATGTTAGTATGTTTCTGCTGGTTGGTAGAGATCTGACATGTCATGTTTTTGGTGCACTATTTTGGTGTGTTGTGAGCAAGACACAAGAAGTCATTCTTCCGCTCTACTCTGCGCTGGTTAGGCCTCAACTGGAGTATT